ACATGTGCTTTGTGTAGCCACTCTGAAGGCCCAGTAGTAAACTGATGACTTTGAGATCGCCACATATCTTCCACTGGTGTTTCTCATACTCTATAGCGGCCAACAGAATTTTCATTGTTTCATAGCTCTCAGTCATTTTTGTTGCGTGTGCTATTGGGACAGATGGAAGCCGATTGCCATTGTGTAAAAGAACAGCTTTCAGAGAGTCTTTTCCTGAGTCTATAAACAGCCTCCAATCCTCTGTCTTGTATGTTTCAGACTTGCAGAGTTGTTGCATGAGAGATACTGCGTCCTCGCAATAACAAAGGTTGTTTGCCATCTTGAAAAATGCAGACAGCTGTCTATGTCGGTAACGCGCTGTAGTGATATGCACTCCATCTTCTAGCAGGTTACGCTGCTTTAGTCTGGATCCCAAAACCTCACCCTTTCCTTTGGACAAGTTTAGGTCCCTGATGAGATCATGAAGCGCTTCTTGAGTAAATAGTTTAGGCCTGGTATTTTCAGAGTCATCCTGGTAGTCGTTTTCCATTGAGGTAGAGGTAAAATCGGAATCACTCAATTCTTGTTCAGTCGGTGGATTTGGGACTGGAAGTTCAGCACTGTGCGGTACTGGTCGGCTTGCAGAAGCAATATTGGGGTACTGTACCTTGCCTCGTGTCTTGATTTTTATTCCCTTAATATTTGTAAGACAGAAGTAGCAGTCACTACTGTGGTCTTTAGGTTCACGCCATATCATTGGTACAGCAAACGGCATTCCTGAACTTCGTTTACCACACATCCACTCGCTCAGGTGGTTAACACAAGACTTACAGGCTACATGAGGTGCCCATTTCTTGTCTTGGTCACCCAAATGACATTTGAAGTAACTTTTGTAGTTCAGTCGAACAGCTTTTGTGATTGGTTTCTTGAGGCTACCAGGAGTGAAGGCACCACATATGTAGCAAAAACTGTCAGCACCGTTCACACACTTGCGACGTTCCATGTTTTGTTAATTTCAGAGCAATTACAAATCATGCTGGTGTAGATATGCAATATCATGAATCAGCAAACTGAAACAAACAAAAAAGCACAAATCAGGACAAAATAATTGCATAAGTGGAGCCAATGAGCATATAAATTACTGTATGAATAGCATGGTACACTAAATATATAGATATGCTGGTTCTGGAAAACCGAGCCTGATACAGCTATACGAATGTCATAATTGAGTTCAGCAGATACAATTACACTAGAATCAGACTGTTTTGATCCAGAACCATGAGAATTTTTTTTTTTATGTTGACCAGTGGTATCGGCCAGCAGGTAAGGATTCAAGATCGGGTATCTCACCGCTGGGACAAGGTTGGGGTTGTCATGGGTATTGGCCGGTCCAGGGACTACCAAGTGCGTCTTCCTAGTGGTAGAGTATGGTGGAGGAACCGTCGTTTCCTCCGACCTGTGGAGCTGCCAAGTGTTGACCCTTCCCCAGTAGAGTCCCCTAATGTTGATGTCTTTACAGTAAATCCATCCCCACCTTGTGTTTCTGCCCCGGCACTCCGCAGGTCCGAGCGACTCAGAAACAAAAGGTCCGCCCAAGATGAAACTATGAGCGTATAGGGGGGAGGGAGGTGTATAATATGGGCACAAAGTAGTACCTTCAGCTGTGTACCCTTATATTACTCCATTAATTATGTATAGTAAAGTATTACAGAACATGTATTAATTCTATGTAATATTCCCATTTATTGTGCACCATGTTATGTATATAAACTATCATATTTACATTGTATGTATTTAGCTTGTGAATGCTGGTATCTGTACATCCCAGCGCGCAGTAATACATAGAGAGAGTGAAGACGGCCAATCCTTGTGGTGCGGAAGTGAGCTTCTTGGTCCCCTTGTATATATATCTCCCGTACGAGAATAGAACCTACTTTTAAGATAACAAGTGTTTGTGTATACCTTCAGTAGTATAGAACATTTTGGAGTTATCAAGACGAACACAGAACTACCTTAGTTGTTAGTTCTCATATTTGAGTTGTTCAGGCTGAACGTGTCCAGCATATGGGTTAAGCTTCAGAGCTTACAAAGCCATCTGAGTTACTTTCTGAAATTCCGAGTGCTAGTTTTCAAAATGTCCACTAGTAAATAAAAAGGGTCCTATGACAGTGGTAGAAAATATAACAAACCAGGGGACGATGACGAACTAGATGTTTGTGCTTACGCCAGCTAGTGTTATCAAGTTCTCCACCATTTCAGATTAAGGTAAATCTTCACTGTAGATTATAAATATTATGTTTATATAATTTTGGGATCTCAATTCTAAGTGAAAATTTGGTTTATTACTTAATTTTAAGTGGATATTGTAGGGGATACTTTTATTTTGTGTGGATTGCAAAAATAGCCTTGTGCTTCCCATCCAAAAAGTTTTGGCCGAAATTTGGCCGATTTGGCCGTAAGATGGCGTGAAATTGGCTGTAAAGCTTGTCGTACATCTGTCAACCCTGGAGGTGAGGTAGGCGATAATGGCGGAAGATTAATGGAAGAAGTAGAGAAAATTTTGGGATATGCTATCTCCGTTATTATACATTTGCGACGGTAATGTAATAGATGAAAATGATCTTATAATTAGACGTCTTATTAGAATATGATAATAGATAAGTGGTAGGAATGTGGAATGTGAAACGCAAAAATACCGGGCGGGCTAGTTAGCATGCTAACTATCTCCTTTTGAGGTATTTGTCAATAAATGTTTTGAATTTGAATTTGTATTGGGGATTTTGATTGGTAGATCTAATTTCGGCTGTATCTCTGTCAGGGTAAATATTAAATAATCCAAAGGTGGAATTTTTATAGTTATAATAAACTATTCATTGTTATTTAAGATCATGATAATTTTCCAAGTGTTCATTTATTTGCTTAAATAATGAAGAGATTAGATCTGTGAATCTTGTGGCAGCTCTGATTGAGTTGAGTTGCCAGTTCAATAATCTAATTTCTACATTATTTAAGCAAATATATGAATACTTGGAAAATCATCATGATCTTAAATGACAATGAATACATTATTATTATAAAAATTCTACCTTTGGATTATTTAATATTTACCCTGACAGAGATACAGCCGAAATTATATCTAACAATAACAATCCCCAATACATACAGCCTTACTTTACCAAGTATTGCCAGGTAAATTTTTTGAGTACGAGAGCCAGTGTGGGGGTCGATGCATCTTTGGCTGACTGTACATAATTCCACTTAGTCAGCTGTTGTCAGAGCCAGATACTGTAAGTTGTCTTAAGTTTTACTTTTAGTTGAGGTCTTTATTTACACCCATCATGTAGGGACGGCAGTCCTATACACACGGGCCAACCGGGCGTCAAACTACAGACTCTCGCCTCGTAGAGCTAGTGGATGCAAGTTATTGCCAAGGAATAAAACAGTGGATCTTGCACCTCACAGAGTGCACTAAGAAGAGTGGGTGGAGTAGAGGTTCTCTAGGGAAGATATTTTTATATGATACAAAATTTTGGATACAACGGTATAATAATATCTAAGACGTTGATGGTTAAGATGAATTTACAGAGTTCGTCAAAGGTTTTGTTAGGTGGCAACAAGACTGGGTTTCCGATTTTCCCCATAAATTCGACATTACGTGGGAACAAGGAATAATTTCTCACCAATTCCCAACATGGCCTATAGCCTTGCTTGATTCTGACAGTACAACAGTACTGCGCCAGCTGTATCGGTATTTTGTCTCATAATATTAATTTTATCATAGGAGCCATCACTAACATGGCACCTCGCTGTTCACTACGTTCTTCGTTTATGATTTCAAGAGCGGTTTTCTTGAGGAGCGTCTTTTCTCGACCAGCAGTTATGGTTTGTCTTCGGAACAACTTATTTATAAGATAGACTTTCAGAAACACTGTACTCTTTTATATTTCTTTCAAGGCCCTGGTAGTAGAGGTACAAATACCTCATTATATAAAACAATTAAACATCATCCGCGCGGACTGTTCTATGATTCCTGTTGGCAAGAGTTACTCGCGAGGTGTTTATTTGGAGCAGCAAGAGGTTACATAGATAACTCGCAGTCTACAGTATATGTAACAAGAAGTCTAAAGTCTGCATATATCATACTTGTATTTGTACTAATAAACTAATAGAGATTATTTCCATGTCGACTTGTGTACACATTCACTATGAACAACTGGAACATGACCTATAACCTAACAATTCCTGTTCTCAAGTATCTTTCGTTTTTGATAAAAAATCAATTGCAGTGACACTTGCTTAGAAGAAAAGCCCTGACATGTAAAACTCAAAGGTATAGAAACGCCAAAGGCGCTAAATAGCGTTTTCTTTCTCTTGTTACATTGTTAACGGCGGGGTTACTTCTGAACGCAAGACTCTAGCAGAAGGTACGTGAGCAGTACCTGGGTGCATGAGAAAATGAGGAAAACAATTTATTTATGGCGGCTCTCTTGTGCTGATTCACGATTACAGTATGTCTGATCGTATACAAATTTCATTGCTCTCAGAAGAATTCCTTGTATCTTTGAGGCATAATAACCACGTAAAATAATGTATTATCATAATGAAAAGGTGGAAGTGAGTTTCATAGGCCTAGCGGGCCATTAGGACAATGCGGATACAATAAACTGTCGTCTTTTTCAGCACTTAAGGAGGCAATGTGGTCTGCACTGCATTGGACAGCCTGTCTTCTCCACCTATAAAGTTAGGCACCTATTTACAGTTGGGTGAACTAGGAGCGAACCAACGACCCTATGAACAGGAGGAATGCTGTAACCACTTACCTTATACAGTATAGGTAGCAGTGAAACTGGTGAGCTAGTTTTGTCACACGAAGATTGTCTTCTTGAAATGATATCGTGAGTGAAACCTCGGCATCGATCTACAATATGCTCAATGTTGTATTCATACAATGCGTTTCTCAGAATAAGTTCATTTTTTACCCTATGATCCAGCATGGATTGGAGGTTAAAGAAATTAGAAAGGATTATTAACTTTTCAAAGCATATAATAATTATGACTAAGCCAAAAGATATCTTTATTACATGGCCTAACCTGAAAGTGTTTCAAGTTCAACTCACTGATAAAGCAACAAAATATTAGAAAACGTATGATATATTTCACTACTGATCCCAAGTAATTGAAGTTTGGCAGCGAATGTTACACGTTTTAAATAACATCAAAATGAACACACTAAAACAAGGCAATTTTATTCAGTTCAGAGGGGGCCCATGCTTTCCCCACAAGAGAACTACCAGTACTCACATGTATTATTCAGAATTCTGAAGATAAGACTGGATTTCGTAACTGAGTTATTTGTAGAAGTTTACACCACTAGCCAGTTATGTTATGGCATCACTGCACATTAAGTATCTTCACAATTGACTGCGAGGGAAGCTACCTTGCGTGTTCGGCACTTAAGTCTTCGCTAAGCTGGGAAGACCTGTGAAGGATCACAAGACAGTAAGGACGTCGGAGAGAACGTTCGTCCAGTAGGTAGAATAAGACTGTACTATCGTTGCCCTGTAAACAAACAATATGTTAACTCCTCATAAGCCATAATGTGTTACTAAGTTTGCGATAACAAATGTTATCAGTCATAAAAAAAAAATTATTTTGTCTGATATAAGTTTAGAAATTTATTCTCGAAATTTCTGTATTAACCTACAGTATGCCTAACACACAGCTAAATTTACTACAGCAAATTGTGCCAATATAAGCCTTTGTAATGAATTTCTAAAATATAAGTTTTGCTTGATAATATAAACAAAGTTGCAAGACGTTATTAAGAGTGTAACTAGTTAATTACGTTTGAAAGAAATTAAAAAAGTTTTATCAAAGCTCCTGTTAGTAAAGCACTACAGAATATACCTTAATACCTGCGATCGAATAATGTGTGTGATGACAGAGCACACCTCAGTCAGTATTGGCAACAGGTGTCTGACATTACCACCTGGTGGAGTTTTAGACCTTACCCAAATTGCACGTGTCCTCGGTAGTCTCGAGGTTCCCACTGTACGGTGATTTGTGTCTTAGGGTCGCCTCCCTTGTGCTGCACGGCGCCCTGCAGAGAGACACCAAGCCCACACTCAGTCTACAATATGGTGTATCTATTTCTTTCGTGTCAATTATAGGAATGAGAATATAGTGATAGAAATGCTAATGTATAAAATTTAAGTCATGCATCCAGTGGAAGGGAGAGACAAGAGTGTAGGAATTAATTTAAATGCTGGGTCTTCGGAGAAATACAAAAGAATGGGGGAACTAATAAAGACACCCTGAAAACATTTGGAGTAGCCAACCCTCAGACAAAAACTGCACCTTGATATACATAATATTTATATCAGGTATGTGATGTGATAATATGATTTCTTCACACATATATGAATGTACTGTTTTTCAAAATATTCAGCATATTTTTCGTCATCACTGATCACATTTTTGCCACCCCGCATGCTTGTAGATGTGACCAGGTTTGTGCGGCAGTAACCATCAGAGAGGAGAAAATGTATATTGTGTTTGCGGTAACGAAATATATTAAGAGTTGGCAGGTGGAAAAGAAATTCAATTTGTTTTAATCGAAAACTTCAGTTACCCATGGGGTAAAGTAATTGCAAGCTCAAAACCTGTTTCAATAATTTTTCTCGTTAAATTATGTTATTTAAAGATAGAAAGGCAATCCTTCATTACATTATATACATGAACCTTCTTAAAGAAAGAAAATAAGGTTAGAACATGAATTCATCCCTTTCATCCAATTGTAACTTTCGTATTTCCATCTGGCCAGCGCTAGACGATTACACTAAACAGTGGAAATCCCGTCGGTATTGTCAAAGCATTATTATATTGCACAGTAATCTCTCCCAACTGATATACACTTTTCCTCCCACCCTAAGTAACCCCCCGGACACGTATACCCTCTCTTCTCCCTCCCACTCACTAGCGAATGCTCCGAATTTACACTTCAGAGTTCGGGTGTTCAAACTTCAGGGAGAGAGAAGATTGGCAACGCTAAGTGGTAAAAGCAGGAATGGAGCCAACTACAGGTACTGTATATACATTGGCTGTATAAGGACGTTCTCTGATATGCATGTTGGACTGTATACCTACGTTGTCTATATACATGCTGAGCAATTGCAAACTTGCATGGCGATTTAATGAATATCTATCTATCTATCTGTATGTCTATCAATCCCTAAATCAAAATACAAACCCCGTCAAAGGTACAGCTGATGATCCTGCCGGGTATCTGAACCTTCGTAAAGTGGCCCGCACGCTGACCTTGCTCATCCTTTGCCTGCAGCAGGAACCCTTTGAACTCCTGCTGGTTGTGTCCGTACACCGTCACTGAGGGGAAACGAGTTTTGCTGAGTCAGTTGTGTTCTGACCTCGCTAGAGGAAAGGTCACGGTAGACTTAGCTCCCGGGGATAAATTGTCAGTAATGGCTAGTGCTACTTGTGAACAGGGCTGTGCCCTTCTGAGGGCCGAGTTAGTGAAGGTCAAGGAAGAAAACTTGAAATTAAAGGAAGTGACAGCGAGGATGAAAGAAGAAGACATGAGACAAGGAAAGCCCGTGTCTGACGAAAACTCAGGCGAATGGAAGGTTGTGAGGAGAAGAACGACCAAAATGGTAGTGAGAAAAGACACCAAGGAAACGACAACAGTTAAGTGTACAAACTCTTTTAGTCCTTTGATAGACGAATTGGAGATTAGCATAATCAGGGACAAGGCTGACAAGGAAGGTACGAAAACCTCAATTGTTGGCGATTCCCAGGTATGGTACCTGGACAAAGCTTTTTGTGGTATAAATAAAAATAGGATGAGGGTTTGTTTGCCAGGAGCTGGGGTGGGGAAAATAGTTGACAGGATGGACACTATCTTGTCTGGTAATGGGAACAAACCCATTATCTTCCTCAGTGCAGGAGACAATGATATTGGCCGGTGGAGGAGTGAGGAGCTTCTTGATGAGTTCAAGACAGCTATTGAACGAATTAGGTTGAAGGGAAGGATTCCTATCTGATGTGGTGTCCTGCCTAGAAGGAAGGTTGGCAATGAATGGTTGTCAAGGGCAGTTGGTGTCAACGGCCGTCTTGACAGATATTGCAAGTCAATATCATTTCCAGTCATTGACAACTGGGACAACTTTTACGGCAGAAGGGATCTTTATGCTAGGGATGGGGTGCATCTGTCTAGGGATGGGGTGGCAACCCTGGTTGGCTCTCTCAAGAGGGCAGTTCAAAAGATGTCGAAGTCTTTAAACTGCTAGGGGAACACATAGGCACGGAAGAGGAGGAGACTGCAGTGGGAGCGGGTAAACAAAGTGAAAGGTTACAGGGAAATAGTGCTAGGAATGATGACAAAACTAAATTAGGCAGAGAGTTAAAACCTAAACGCGACAAAGAGAGGACTCAGAACAAGACTAACTTAAATACTTAAATGTCTACTACACAAACAGTAGAAGTACGCGAAACAAAATGGATAAAATCCGGGCGTTGGTATGTACCGAAAAAATTGATATAATAGCATTCACCGAAACATGGATAAACTTAGACTCACGTGAGTTACCTGTCGAATACCAAATGGCAGGTTACAATTATTCCATACCGATAGGCAGATTATGAAAGGAGGAGGAGTAGCAATCTATGTCAGGGATAATCTGAAGTGTGAAATAAATAAGGAAATAAAAACTGAACTGAAAACAGGAACAATTTTGATGGAATTAACCAATGGTAGGGAAAAATTAATTGCAGGAGTAATATATAGACCTCCTAATCTTGATAGAGTTAATGAGCGTCTTATTTGGGATGAAATGCGCAGGGCATCCAGGCATAGCAATATCTGTATAGTAAGCGACTATTATTTAAGCCAAATACATTGCATCGACCTTGCAGGAAACTCAGAATCAAAGGATTTTCTTGAAACAGCTCAGGATTGTTTCCTGAATCAACATATAACCGAATTAAACCTGGGTAATAATTTACTCGATTTAGTTCTGTCAAACAGAGAAAACCTCATTAGTAATGTCAAGGTAGGGAACGAACTTGCAAACAGCGGTAAAAAAGAAATAAGATTTCAATTAGAATTTAATGGCAGTCGCAAGGAAAATTCCATTAAAGTCCCAGATTTCGGAAGGGCAAACTTTGATAGGTTGAAAAGGCAGCTGAGAGAAGGGGTAACACGTTTGGGGATGGATTACATGACCTCACACAATGTACCCACAGAGGGTGACCTCACTTTACCAGGAGACCTGACAACGATATCCTCACAAAATATGACTGTTGAGGATGACCTGATCACGAGATCTGAGATTGACGAGTTCCACAACAATAAAAAAATATTGAGTTACCTAATGCACAATGGCAGAACATACCATACAAAAAACTCAGATCAGACAACACTGACCCTAAATGGATAAATAATTATTTAAAGAATGTTATCGGACAAAGGAAGGCTATAAGTAGGGGAATAAATTGTGAAGTTTACCTCCGAGATTATTATAAGGTATTGGCCAGGAGGGTTAAGACCGAGATAAGAAAAGCAAAGAGGAATAATGAACTGAAGGTAGCAAGGGAGGCAAAGTCAAACCTCAAGGGAGTCTTTCAAATGTATCAAAGTAAAACACGAGAAAAAAATGGACTAATACAGTCAGACCGGCGAGCTAACTGATAACGCCGGAGAAATGAGCAATAATCTGAATAAATATTTTTCAACAGTTTTCACCACCGAAAATTTAAACATGATACCCGACGTACCGACTTTATACAGAGATAGTGAAGAAAATAAATTAAGTGAGATAGTAGTGACTAGTAACGATGTTAGTAAGCAAATAGACAAGCTAAAGCCTAATAAGTCGCCAGGTCCCGATGTGATATTTGCCAGAGTATTAAAGGAATGCAAGGAAGAGCTTATTATGCCCTTAGCAAATTTGTTAAACATATCCTTAAAAACGGGTTTAGTACCAGAATTCTGGAGGATAGTGAAAGTAATACCGATTGTCAAGAAGGGAGATCACTTTCCTCTAACTACCGTCCAATCAGCTTAACGTCATTTGTTGGCAAATTACTGGAAGCAATATTTTCAAACTCTGTCTAACTAATCTATAAACATTCTTTTCATCTGTCTTCGAATCAGTGGACGAGGGGCACGACTATGATGTGGTATATCTTGACTTTAGCAAAGCCTTCGACAGAGTCCGCACGAAAGACTAATACAAAAAGTGGAGGTTCATGGCATTGGAGGAAATATTCTAAAATGGATTAGGGCGTGGTTACAGGACAGGAAACAGCAAGTGGGCATTAGCGGCACTAAATCCGATTGGAGTAACGTCACTAGTGGAGTACCCCAAGGCTCAGTATTTGGACCATTATTATTTATTATATACATAAACGATATAGATATCGGCGTAGACAGCAACATAAGTAAATTTGCTGAAGACACTTAAATAGAGCGTATAATTAAATCTGACGAGGACTCCACAAAACTACAAGGAGATCTAAATAAAAATTTCGAATGATCTGAAAAATGTCAGATCAATTCAAAGTGGACAAATGTAAAGTACTTTGTCTAGGAGATGTAAACTGAGAAACCAGATATCAGTTGAACAACGATGTTATAGAGAAATCCAAATGTGAGAAAGATTTAGGAGTAATGATAAGTAGGAATCTTAAGCCAAGTAAACAATGTGTATTTGCTCGAAACAAGGCTAACATAATACTTGGGTTCATACAAAGGAGTGTTAGTTAGAAGACTAGAGAGGTCATCCAAAACTATATCTTTGGCTTGTGAGAGCTCACTTGGATTACGCAGATCAATTCTGGTCACCGTATTACAGAATGGAAGTAGATTCTCTTGAAAGAATTCAGAGGAGAATGACAAGACTAATCCCGGGCATTAGGAACCTTGAGTACAGAGACAGGTTAAAGCATCTTAACTTGCACTCCCTCGAGAGACGTAGAGTGCAAGAGGGATGATATGATAGAGGTGTACAAATGGAAGTCAGGGCTAAACAAAGAGTACATTACAAAGGTACGCAAACTATCCTACCAGGAGCGAACTCGTAATAATGATTTTAAATTAGAAAATTTATATTTAGGCGCGAAATAGGCTTGGAAATAGAGTAGCGGTCGAGTGGAACAAGTTACCAAACATCACCATTAACTCGAATACGCTGAATTGCTTCAGACATAGGTTGGATGAATATATGAGCAATAGGGGTTGGGTGTAAATGGGACTGCCCAGTTTGGGCCAATAGGCCCGCTGCAGTTTCCTCCATTCTTATGTTCTTAACACTTATTTACGTGTACTTCCTCACAGCTCTCTAGTATCCTTCATGGTTTCTTACACTCCACATCCGTAACTGCCTCACAGGTCCTAATACTACCACACAGCTCCTTATACTGCCACACAGGTCCTAATACTGTTTCACAGTTCCTTTTACTGCCTCACAGGTCCTTATACTGTCACACAGGTCCTAATACTGGTTCGCAGGTCCTTATACTGCCTCACAGGTCCTTATATTGCCTCACAGGTCTTTATACTGCCACACAATTCCTTATACTGCCTCACATTTCCCTATACTACCTCACAGGTCCCTATACTGCCTCACAGGTCCTTATACTGCCTCACAGGTCCTTACACTGCCTCACAGGTCCTTATACTGCCTCACAGGTCCTTATACTGCCTCACATTTTCCTATACTGCCCCCTATTTCCCTTTACTGCTTCACAGGTCCTTATACTGCCTCACAGGTCCTTATACTGCCTCACAGGTCCTTATACTGTCTCGCATTTCCCTATACTGCCTCAGGTTTTTGTCCTGTCTCTCAGGTCCTTATACTGCCTCTCAGGTCCTTATACTGCCTCACAGGTCCTTACACTGCCTCACAGGTCCTTATATTGCTCACATTTTCCTATACTGCCTCCTATTTCCCTATACTGCCTCACATTTTTAGTTTAACAAATTTATTGGCAGAGCTTGTAGTACAGTTTGCCTATTCTGAGTAATTCAGTCAGGTCTTGACACTGAGGGTGGTATCACTTCTCACTGTCACGCAGGACAGAGGTTCACACACAAAGAAATACATCATATTCATTAACAACTATAAATGTATAGAGGTCAGATTCAAATGGATAATGTCACTGTTCACTGCCATGCAGGACAGAGGTTCGTACACAAAGAGTTGCATCATATTCATTGACAGTACATATACATATATGTAAACACGCACACACACATATACATACATATACGTATATACATACACATATACACGTACACGCACATATACATGCACACACGCACACATACATACATATACGTCGGTCAGATTCATGTGGGTAATGTCACTTTTCACTGCCATACAGGACAGAGGTTCGTACACAAAGAATGCATCATATTCATTGACACTATATATAGGTCAGATTCATGTGGGTAATGCCACTGTTCACTGCCACGCAGGACAGAGGTTCGTACACAAAGAAGGAAATACATCACATTCACCAGTAGCATATATAGGTCAGTGGATCACATACATTGGAGTCATATTCTAATTGAAGACTAATCAGTGTGGGCTAGCAAATTTGGGATAAACAGCAAGAATGTCCTCAAGCACACCTGATTCAATGAAGTAATTACATAGTTCAAGATACAGTAAGTCAGGTGGCCTGAAGTCTTTGACAGTGTCACATTCAATAATATAGTGTTCAAGTGTATGCTTCAAAGGTTTATCACAAAGTTTACATGCTGAGTGTTCCGGTATGGGTACAGCGTTACTAACTTGCCAGATGTGTCTGTATCCTAGCCTAATTCTGGCCACGACTACATCACATTGTCTGGTTCTGTCCTTATGCTGGCCATACCGGTACCTCTTGTTACAAAATTTGTCATATTTACTAATGCTACAACTGTCAGGTCTCTCTGCATTTCTCACTTCATCTAGATCAGAGTTCATGATTCTGACTTGAATGTTTTTAATTACAGCATTGGACAGACCAAGGTCGCGGTCAACATTTTCTTTCTTACATGCCTCATTGGCCAGTCTATCAACATGGTCATGATACCTGATTCCAACATGGGACGGAATCCACACAAATTCGATACGAAAGTTGTTCTCATTGGCAGTTATCACATTCCTTTTAATATCACACGCAACTTTAGACATAGAGCCTGACGGGCTGTTCATTGATTTCAAAGCACTTTGAGAGTCACAGAATATCACCCCACCTCCATTTTCTTTGAGGTAGTCTGTGGCGAAGTAGATTCCAGTTAGTTCAGTTTGTGTTGTGCTGGCCCAGTTGTTCAGCCTTTGTTTGGTTGACACTATCATCTCTTTTTCTTTATATATTACAATTGCACAGCCTGTTCTACCTGTGTTCGCCCTTATACTGCCTCGCATTTCCCTATACTGCCTCACAGATCCTTATACTGATCACATTTCCCTGTACGGCCTCACAGGTCCTTATACTGCCTCACATGTCCTTATACCCCCTTATCCATCCTCACACCCCTTGAAGGTCCTGAAAGTCTCCCACACGTTGTACGACGAAAGACAAAAGTCGTGTCGTGAAATTTGGTGAAAACATATGCCGAAGGGCTAAATTTTTGGTGCGCTCTGCCTTGTGGTATAGGTGGCTCTCATAATGTTTCACGAGTCATATTTAATCTTCGGACAAAACCGCGACACGACTTTTGTCTTTGATTGTACATTTCCTCATACTTCCTCACACTCCCTTACACCGCTTTACTCCTTTACAGACACTCACATAAGAACATAAGAAGGTAGGAAACTGCAGCGGGCCTATTGGCCCATACCGGGCAATCCGATTTGCACCCAATCCCTATTGCTCATATATCTATTCAACCTGTGTTTGAAGCTATCCGGCGTATTCGAGTTAATGATGATCTTTGGTAACTTGTTCCACTCATCCGCTACTCTATTTCCAAACCAATGTTTACCTATCTCCCACCTAAATCTAAATTTGTCTAATTTAAAACTATTGTTTCGAGTTCGCTCCTGGTTGGATAGTTTGAGTATCTTTATTATATCACCTTTGCTTAGCCCTGACTTCCATTTATACACCTCGATCATATCGCCCCTCACTCCACATCTCTCGAGCGAGTGCAGATTAAGATGCTTTAACCTGTCTCTGTACTCAAGGTTCCTTGCCCGGGATTAGTCTTGTCATTCTCCTCTGAATTTTTTCTAGGGATTCTATATCCATTCTGTAATACGGTGACCAGAACTGAACTGCGTAATCCAAGTGAAGTCTCACACGCACAAGATATAGTTTTAGGATGACCTCGCTAGTTTATATCCCTCACAAGTCCTATTAGAGTCCTCAACACCTGTCTCACCGTAGTAGGAACTGTTCCTGGGGGTGATGTAGATGCCGTAGGGGGCTGATGAGCTCTGGGGGCCGAGAGAGAGGTGACCGGGTAGCATTGTGTCGCACGCCACCGCCACGCTGAGGCTACTGTATGCTTCCCCTCCTCCCACCACCGCCCACCATACTGCCGCCCACACCGCCGCCCCTGTCGACACCCACGCCATTCTTGGGAGTCTGTATGATCCTGAAGATATTAACAACTTCTAGAGTAAATAGAAATTATAAACTTTTAATTAAATAATAAATTGAGAGATATAACTAACTGGAAGAACGAATAAATCAAATACATTTTAATTATATACTACACAATAATACAATAACAGATATCAGAAGCTTTTAGTAATATTAGAAAAAAACTGCACCTATAGAATACTGTACACTTAGCATTTTCCGGGATCAATGACCTTCCCAGAGGAGAAAATGACGCGTGATACAACATACAGCTTCAATTTACTTCAAAACCCAGTCAACATAACCACGGAGAGGGAGAACCTTTACTCAGAACCACATGGAAAGAGTTGAAAGCTTCGGTTTAAGGTGATTTATGTTGGGCACTAATCTTCAGGTGATCTGATGCCTTGCTTTGTTGTTAGGTGACGTCACCTCCGTTTGTGTTGAGCCTCTTTAGTTAAACCAGCGGTAATGTATGATTTCCACGTGTGAGGACCCATCAAGAGGTTGATATTAACACTTACATGAGTTAGAGAAGAATAAAAAGACCTGTCGAATACCAAATTAAAGGTTACAAATTATTCCACGCAGCCGCTGAGAATGGACGGGGGCCGGAGTTATATATATATATATATATATATATATATATATATATATATATATATATATATATATATATATATATATATATATATATATATATATATAGAGCAGAGCAGAGACGTTACCGAGAACAAGTTCTGGCTTGAATGTCATGTACACTAATACTGACACGTTCCTTGATAAGAGAGAGGTACACCAACCCGATAGAGTAGGTGTTGTAGAACTGTTGTACAAGAAGAGAAATTTGAAATACTTTATTGACCATAAAACAATTACATCAAAAGGACAGGGTAGTATACTATTCCCACCCTCACCTTTGCCATCCCCTTTTGGGGTTTATAAAAAGTTATAAATGTTATAACAATAATTATTTTTACATCAATGAAATAGTTCATTTTGGCATGAGCACTACTACATTAAAAGAACAGATAATGTAATCCTACACAAAATTAAATGTCATAACAATGGAGTAAAATTTTTATACATGGAAGAATAATTTTAATCTTTACATTATTAATCATCCAACAAACTTGTCCCAAAGATGATGCAGTTGACAAGGTTGACCCGCCCCTCCACTTATCTGTCAGTAATATTTGTATCCCAATCTTAGTCTTATTATTTCAGTATCAACAGATGGTAAGTTAGACCCGTAAATTACATTGGTGTTTTGTAAAACATACAAATAGTGCTGAAAACTCTCGCTACATATGGCAATCACTTCTCTTCTCGCTTTTCCCCATTCCTCCTTGTTTCTTTTCAATTCCCTCTTTATCGTTCTAATACTTACATTTTTAACAATATATATATATATATATATATATATATATATATATATATATATATATATATATATATATATATATATATATATATATATATATATATATATATATATATATATATATATATATATAAAATCAACACCTCACTCCGCCAGGATTCGAACTCACGGCCCACGACTGGCCAGGTCTCCAGAAAATCGTAGGTGTGCCAGGAGTCGGTACTGAAATATTGTTGACTAATTACGCCTACTCGTTTCTACCTAACCTGGGGTAATAAGACAATGCAGAATGAAGCGAAGCTAAGATTAATAGAGTTATGAACTTTGCGTTATGTCTGTATGTTTAATAAATTGTAATTCAGATAAAATCGTGTGAGACTAACTAATTATGTATCAGATGGATCACCATGTAATATTATGAACGCCTTCTCCTCTGCAGGTTTTGACCACATCAATAAATATTGAATGCGTCAAAAGGCGAGTTTCAATCATTCCCTTCGACTTGCCCGTCACCTGAACATGCTTAACCAAGACGTTTTCAGTCAAAACAATACGGGAGGGCTGTCGAAGGGAATTCTCAACTACCATGAGGACCATGGGACGAGCCACCAACGCCGGGAGTTCAGCGTGGGAGAGCGTAGGTCGTCAATCAGCCACCCACCCACAGTGGGTGGGACGTCAGCACCGGAGACAGTGATAGCGAGTGTTGTGTGTTTGAGTGAAGTGTCTTAAATACCGGACAGCGTACGGGGCTGTGAGCGTTCCTTTCCTTTCGAAGAGGGAGGCCGCGCACCCAGTGAGCGAAGTTTCAGAACACCCGGACAGTGTCGTAATGTTTGGTCTGGGCGGAGGGATAGTTAGCGTTCGCTCGGACACGCACTCCAGTGATTATAACGAACAGCTGATCTTCCTATACCAGTGATATACCATAGTATATCAAATATCACCTAAAATACTATAATACCTTATCTCAGATTATTTGTAGTCAAGAAATATTTGCTTTTATTGAAATTCGACTCCGAGAATTTTCAAAATTCTTATTGACATTATATTGATATTGGTAGTTTATTTAGCCAGAAGAACATAGATACAAATTAATAATAACAACAATAATAATAATAATAATAATAATAATAATAATAATAATAATAATAATAATAATAATGATAATAAGGAACAATGTGTTAAGTTTTAATTGCAAGAAAGTGGTTTTCTTACCGTAGAACTCAGATACCTTCACACTGGTTACTCACCCAGGAGATTATGGTGTTGTAGTGGACGTCTCCCCTACAACTGCTATCGGCATTCCAATGAGACAGTATCCTAGCAACCAAACGAGCGGCCCAGGGGGGGCGTCACCAGATGCCACAGTATCCTAGCAACCAGCCACCTGCTACGTCTTCCCTAGCAACGGAGCCGAGAAACCGGCGGGTTTACTTCCGGCTGCTGTGTATATAAGCTCTGTCTCTCCATTAAGATTCATTCTGGCCTCGGTTCCTGAACACGCAACATCTCCTCCTCCGCCGCTGCCTGGCGGCCCTCGCTTCTCCTCCGCCTGCCTGGCGGTCCTCGCTCCCGCCGGCGAGCATGGCGACCCACCAGCTGTCTTCTCTGAGCGTCCTCACCAACCAGCTCTCTTATTCTACTCTACGTTCCTGAACACGCAACACCTCCTCCAAGCAAGCTCCTCGCTGTCCAGCTTTCATTCAACCAGGAGGCCAGCAACAGGCAACATCTTCTCTAACGAAGCTCCTGCACATCTACCTCCTTCAACACGCTACTCACCGAACGTGTCTACTGAGCAGCTCCTCACCACACGGCATCTCCAGCACCAGACTGTCTACCATATAACTTATATTATATAAGAAAACCACCACCTTAGAGTTTCCATCCATCCTGAGTGCTAGACAACATAATATCACGAAACCCTACAGTGTATCACTACGTAGAATTTCACTCTGCTTCCGGCATTCAATGCGTTGTGTTCTTGATAAATGATGATTTAATGAATTCCATTAACTTCCAACATCCATCTAAGTTATTGGTTATACTTGTCATAACCAATCAGTCATTACCTTTGATAATAATAATAATAGAGGGGTCACAGATACGGGCAGATAATTGCACTTATGTTTATTTGGCACAATTCCATACACTGGACTTAAAAATTTGCATGGATAGGTCAGTCACTCACATTCACGCCACAGTACCGTAAGTTATAAGGGAGAGTTTGTCAACCTGGAGAATTAATCGTTTAGATCTATTAGGCCGGCCTGGAGTGCTCTTGTAGCAAACAGGCCCTCACCATTGATCACTTCCTTTACAGGATGTGTTAACTTGTCGCAGGACCCAACAACAATCTCGGGAATTTGCACACACAGACTCGTAGCACTGGAAGGACTGTATGGCCCCTGTTCTAAATCCGCGGAGCAGGAGGTCTTCTATAACCCATGGTCTAAAGCCGACTGGCTAAAATGTGGTTTTGAGGCGTGAGATGACCCCTATCGGCTGGCCGGGTACCTTATCTCTACCCAAACAAACATTTGGGATGGGTTGTGCGGGAGGCCCAGCGCAACCCATGACACCATGAAGACATACATAATTGAAAAGGGCCCCCCTTTGAACATTTTCACCCTACTGACAGTTCCTAGCATATCTCGGGGACCGGACGGGGTGACAGTACCCCAAATGGGGAAGCACTTAACTTTTGTTGATCGTTACGAAGGATGGACCGTCTAGATATCTAAACGACCTTCTCATAAGACCTAATAATTTATTTGCCTGATTTACCTTCGTCTCGCAATGGCCCGCAAACTTCAGCTCATTGTCAACCTACACACCTAGGTCCTTCTCACATTCAGTCTCAAATAGTGCAGTTTCTTCAACCAGTTGGGACATAAAAATTATGATACGCCTCCTTACCGTTGGTACACCCCAAGTGCATCCTCTTACACTTCGTGACATTGAATCTCAGGAGCCATTTCTTCGACCATTCTTGGTGCTCACAGTGATCCTTCTGCAGCTCTTCACAGTCCGCTTGGTTCTTGATTTCCCGAAATAACTTTGCGTCATTGGCAAACATTTGTATGGAGGAGTGTACAACGTCAGGCATGTCATTTATGAAACAAACAACAGCGGACCCAATACAATGACCTGTGGTACTATAGTGGATTCCTTCCCTACAAACGCTTGTCGCTGAGTAGCCAACCCCACGAATTCCCCAGTGTATGCCTCGTGGTCTAGGTCAACCAGCGCCGCCATACATCACGGAGGTCAACTATTAAGCCACGCCTACCTCCGCTATATAAGACCTGACCTCGTGGTGACTTGCCTCTCTCTTTCTACCGACACCAACCAGCAAGCAACACCTCCTCCTCCTCCTCCTGCCTGGCGGTCCTCGCTCCCGCCGGCGAGCATGGCAACCCACAAGCTAGTCCTCCTCTGAGCATCCTCACCAACCAGCTCTCTCTACATTATGCTTGTAACCACGCTGCCACTTCCCAGCACGAAGCTGCACTGTACATCCAATACAATATGTATACAGAGAGCACATTGTGAGTTTCCTTTCTCCATCCCTTCCTGAGTGTGAACCAAACAACTCATAACCCCACAGTACCCCGTTTGT